TTATCGCGCTCTCCGCAAAAAGCATAGAGTACACTGCTACTTCGCTACACTCTCGTTCACATCTCCGTCGCCTCACACTAAACTCCATCACATGTATCATACTATTATTAATCTCTGCTAATCTCAGTTCTATACAAAATACGGTTTCGCCAGTGCCCATGAAGCTTGGCTTGAGGCTATCATCCGACCCCAATCTTCTTTTGGGCCAGTAACCTTTAATGTTCGGACACTTTTGCGGATCGGGCGATAGGCTAGTCCGGCACGTAGTCTGAGTTTTCTAGTTATTGATATCTGTCGGATTTCCGAAACATGGTGGCAAGACCCCAGCAGTGTTTAAGTTGACAACTCCAACCAATCAGGACGCCACATACAAGTTACTTTTGTTTGGTGATGTGTAAGCAGCTGGGTTGGTTGGCGTTGGCCTAGTATTAAGCAACAAAGTCGAGGATTAGTTTCCGATTAATAACTGACTATCTGCAGTACGGCTTCAAGGCTCAGGTAGGGTTAGCAGGCATGGCGTCGAAAGGCACGATCTACTTGTGATCTTCACTTATGCTACAACCGGTTGCAACTGTGAATCGATTCAGAATTTCAACAGCTGTTACACAAAGCCACCAAAACAAACCTGGTTGACCACTGACGACTTCAACGCACGAGTTGATCGCCTATTACCAGGTGAATATCACGTGGGTGGTCATCGTGCATTAAATGAGAATCTCTCGGAAACGGGGTCAGACTTCTCATTTTGTGCGAAGACAATGGTCTATTCCTCGCAAGCACACACTTCAGGCACACCAGGCGTTGTGCAATCTGGCGTCCTTCTTCCCGACCGTAACCTTGGTCTCAAATAGATCACATTGCAATGAGTTTCAGATGACGGAATAGTGTATAAGACTAGATCATTTTGTAACATATGCTTGATGCAAATCACGCGCTGGTTTGTGGGAATAACTGCATACGATTCGGAGGGCCACCAAAACGGAAACATTGCAAACTTGAGATGAACAGACTAGCTGATAAATCAGCTCAGCTGAACTATCAACTGTCATTGGCAAGATTACACTGAAATGTGGCGACAATGGTTAAGAAGTGGAATCCATGTAAACAGAGTATTTAAATCAGTGAACCTTTCGAAACCAACAAAGAATCGGAGAAAATGTTATTACGCATACTTAAGTGGTAATTCATCCGCACAAGCAAATTGCGTCCAAAACGATGACGCCAAAGCAGCATCTCAGTCCTACCGATGCGACTTAAAATAGCACGTGATGTGTATAAGTTAATAAAACTGAACCAATGGCGCGCTATCAAACTCGCCTTGTGAAAACTGCGAATCGGATTGTCGACGATCTTCGGGACGCACTTCTTTGCCGTCCAGCACAATGAGGGTGCGAAGATGAAAGAGAACAAAGAGGCGGTAGGTAGTTTGAGCCTCATCATGAAATCCACTGTTGTGATCTCGCGACTCTGGTTCAGTGTTATTCTTCGCAAGTATCAGCTGATCCACTGCGGGGTTGCCATGAAAAGAGAGCTCTGTCAAATTGTTTAAGTCGCGCAGACGAAGCAACTGGTGAAGCTGAAAAGGAAAGAGCATTTAAATGACACGAGCGCGTGAAGTCTCGCAGAACTGTTTGTTGGCGTCGCTATGGGCGAATACACGCAGGTGATGACCGAACACGATGAAAAACGTGCATTTTTATCCATAAAAACGAACCAGGAGAGTGAAATTCGACTCCCAAAGATACATGATCCACCATATATATATATATATATATATATATATATATATATATATATATATATATATATATATTATGTGCCGTTTCCTGACGACTGTGCGTTGTTTGCACACAGCGCGGATGAGTTGCAGCACATGATTAACACTTTGGCTTCTACAGCAGCCACATTCGGGCTCACAACCAACTTAAGCAAAATTTTCTGTCTTTTTCAGCCTTCACCGGAGGTGCAATCTTCAATATTGCCGCAAATCAGCATTGGTGCTTCTGCTACCTTTGGAGTGTGATGTCGACTGACCACAAGATACACAGTGAGCTGCGTATCCGCGTGTCGAAGGCAGCTGCATCATTCGGGAAGCTTGAGTACCGAGTGTGGAACGACGATCAGCTTACCATTGGCACGAAGCGAATGGTGTACAAATCCATGGTGCTGTCCGTTCTTCTATACAGCAGTGAAACCTGGACGATGTACCAGCGGGATGTGAGATATCTCGAGCGGATTTTGTGCATCACGAGGGGAGACAGAGTTGTTGACACGGAAGTGTTGCGACAAAGTGGAATGTATGCAGTGGACGGCATACATTTGCTGAGACCCCTGAGATGGCTCGGTCATGTGCGCCGTATGGATTCGACGCGGATGCCGAAGCAACTCTTATATGGTCAGCTGAGTATCGGGAAGCGGCATGTAGGGAAACCAAAGGTACATTACCAGGACATGATCAAAGTGAGCCACTCAGGTTCTAATCTTGATTGCAGGTGATGGGAATCGAAGGCGGTTGATCGGCGTGCATGGCGCGATGTAATCACGAAGGCAGTTGCCGAAGTGCGGGAGAAAGACCTCATACATGCAGAGAAGGAGCAGCAAGCGCCGATGGGTTGTACTCCATCAACATCGAGCGCATGATGCTGTAGCACATACGGCCGCGAGTGCCTGAGTCAGGGAGGCCTAGTGAGCCATGAGCGAGGCCACTCGGGACCTCTACCGAAGCGACGACGGGTCCTGCAGAGAACGTAGGCAGAACCGGCGCAGCGTTTGTAGGTATGCTGCATTCGATTTACTAACCGCCTGCTTGCACGCTGTCTCTTTATTTCAGGTGGTGGATTTTCAATTTTGTCCTAATGCTTTCCTTTCTCATATAAATGTCTACATGTACACTCTTCTATAAACTCGCACACCACGCTTAAGCCAATTGTAGTTAATTTCGATAACATTTTCGTGTTTGTGGCATTTCCGTAAAATATACCTTCTGACTTCGTGAAATTATCTCGGATTTTTTTGTAAACAACAATTCACATGCTCATTAGTTTAAGATTTATGCCACCGTTTCCTTATGCATTACTCGATTCATTTTCTTTGTTATCTTTCTCTCAAGTGATTGGCTGTTGCTTGATGTCCCCGGTGTGACTGCTCTTGATGTGCATGTTGACAAGGTGCCTACCTGTCTATTATCCACTACTTCGTCCATATTGGCTCTAGGAGACAGTTGATCGTTGCTGGAGGGGACGGGGTGCACGGTCCTTGTGGCCGTGTTAGGATCAAAGAGTGGTTGCATGCACTCAGTGTGGAGCGGGCTACGGTGCAGTCACCGCATTGTGTGCGCTTGATTCCGCAAATACAGCGTGCATGTTTGCCTGTGAAGAAGTGTGCGCCGGCTTCGTTGATGAAACGTAGCTCCCATCCACATGCCTTCCGGTCTACGCTCTGAGTTCCAGCCCAACTCAGGCTATCTCCAACTGATGAGTCTCAACCAGGACGAAACTGCGGTCTTGGGGTGCCAGTGTTGGGATGAGCAACACTATAATGCCTGCCGGTCTTATTCCTTCGGGTTTACACTGGATATGGGGTGTGTGGTTGGAGCTGTGAGTGGTGCAGCGCAAGCCACTCATGGTCCTTCCGTAGGCGTAGGCGTCCTGTGGCTGGTCGTATATATATATATATATATATATATATATATATATATATATATATATATATATATATATATATATATATATATATATTGGGTGTAGTGATGAACAATTATCCCTGGAGTTCAAGTACTCTACAACACTTCCTCGCTTTGGAATGCAGTTTGGAAATTCGGTGTTCAAGACCCAACAACTATTGTTGCAAGTATCCACACGTTGGCTCGTCCGTGTAAGCTGAATAATCCCGGCAAGTCACTGAGTCGCGATTAACATGCTAATATTGATGCTACATGTTCTGTTTCATATATTAGTCACAATAATGAGTGTAGCTATATTTCCAGTTGTACATCGCTCATACTGAAGTTAGGATAAGTCAGCTATTATCGAGATAAGGTGCGGAAGAGCAAACATTCCTTTTACAATTTAAATTAGAATTGACCAATCATCTAGATTGACTTAAAAGTAGATTAGTCCAACTGTGGTGTTACGGTAGTGTTTAAATAAATATGTAGTTGGAAAATGAACCTAGCACAGCAACAATTGATTTGTTGCGAAGAATAGCTGCAACCGAGATGTATGATGACAGATTGTTAGTAAATTGTAAGCGGTAAAATTACGATGATAAATCCCGGTCGCATGGGAATATAATACCTTCAGTTAACCACCTTATCGGCGCCCTCTGTCCGGGCACTTGATACCCATTGTTTGTTTACCCTCATATGATTAACTTTGCAATGCTCACTGTTTTCATTGCAAATCACAACGTGTGTATGGAGATGTAATCGTTCATTGTTTTCTTAAGGTGTGTCTGTGTGGTTCAATTCCAAACCCTGCTGTGAAGATACCATGGTGCCCAGGTGTCCCACAACATACTCATTTGAGATATTCGATAATTAATTGTTATGCAAGGTACTTCTTGTAAATTTGCTAAAACAGTTTGCACACTCTTTCGAAAGCCGATGATAGAACAGGGTGCAGCGGAATTTACCACATGTGTTGGTGATGTGATAGTGTCAAGGGGGCCAACAGGAAATGCATGATATTATCGTCTACTAACGCTTATAGCAAGAGAGCATGTACAGTACACAGGAACCATAAGTCATCTGTGCTTTACGGTACATTTAGTTGTGCATCATTCTACCTGGTAACCATACTCACGGCATTTGTTTCCGTATTTCCATATCTGTCTCCATCTATTGTTGATACCCACACTTCTGAATAAACGTAAGGCTGTCGTTTCAGTTCTCATGCAAACGCTAACTAACCACTGATTACTTATAATTCTACGTGCGATTTGCTAAAACTAGAGAAATATGGCTGTTATTCTTTCATTCAATCCAAACTCATGAACGTATGTAGTGTTATGGTTCATGAGGGTTATTATTTCTTCATCAATTTTGTGGTAGTACATACACAAGTGTGAACAAATGCCCGTTCACAACACTGCAGCATTATCACTCGGACCAAGAACCTTTGGTATGTCAACTGATATCTCACGTTGAATGACTAAGTGGAAGCCATTTGGAAACACTTATAAGCACCACACTTCAGCCTGACAGACTGATGACATTTTCACTCGCATAACACCATTATCTGCTGGCTCGATGGGACTAGCCTAAAGTACAAATCCCGCTACCATCTGTTCGTGTCTCGATACATTCCCACCTGACAAGTGGATCTTATTACATTTCTTCTCGTGTGACACCGTGACTTATTAGGGGTTGCAATATGAAGTCAATGTATCCCATCTCAAGTGTATCTATACACCCCCTTGTACTGTTGCCGCGTTAAGGTAAACGCACTGAGATTCAGACAAGTCATCAAGGTTGATTCCGGGAGCAGCGGCAATACGTTGTGACATCCGAATCGAAATGCTTGGACATAGATAGTATTCTGGACACTGATGTATTGGTCGAGATATGTTAGCGGTCAGAACGAATGACCAGGGGGAAATAAATAGTAACACATGACGGACTGCTTGGTGGTTCTACCTCCATGTTGATTTTCGCTCACCTCGGACAACAGACGATTAGAACCGGCTCTGGTTTTACCTTACGACACGGATAGCCTGCAGTGGACATAATCGCACCATTTCCCTGTTAATTTGGAAACTTGCTGACGCCATCTCTGTCATTCTTTTTTGGATGGCATCCTTATTCTATATACCGCATGTAAGTCGGGATTGGGTGCAGTTTCATTCGAGAATGATTAACTACTGACTCAAGCGGTGTCTAGTATGGTTACATACCGAGACAGTGAGCTATGGCATCTTCCTATTCGTATTATTACTCGTCCGCGATTCACATCACTATGTAAGCTCCATGGTATTGCTCACCATAACCGTAGCTTGACTAGCTGCTCAATGCTAACTTGCATGATGTTTAGAGAGCCGGTGCATCGCAGAATAATGGTTCAGTCCATCCATGAGCTCATTCGTAATTGATGTGAGTGCGGTTTTTCCGAGCGATTTGTGTGCTTGTTACGGATCAATGCTAGGGTGGTAAATTATGGGGTATGTTTCCAGTTCGATGGATACGTTTGAATCAAAAGGTTATTATCACTTGGCCGTTTACAGTACGCATAAAATGTCGAATTTGACATTTGTAACAATGCTCAACGATTGTCCTTCGTGTGACAAGTTTGGAGTATGCATTCGAAGAGAAATTTCCCTGGAAATTCTGTGTCAAGTGAACAATCCCGACAATTAACCGACCAGCGATTATCACGTTGTCGCCATTTCATGCTCTACTCCGCAGGCTAGTGATGAGAGTGAGTATAGTTCTAGTTCCAGTTATCCCTCAGCCATACTGAATTTATCGGGGCTAATGAAAACATACGTACTCACCACCGGATGGAAGGCAGACGTGCAGAGACGCCTACCAGAAGTTGCATTGCACATGGCCAATCTTTTGGATGAATTAAGTAAAAGGTT